AGGTAAAAGTGTCTCAAAAAAGGCACCAGTAAATCAAAAGGCTGCCAGCAAACCCTGGTTCCATTGGCATCCCTGTGCCACAACAAAACAGGAGTTTTTCTGCTGACTTGTACAATCAAACAGCAACAGTATCTGCTGGTTCTTTTTAAAGCAGGAGAATGTGAGACTCTGACACAGACAGTTATTTAAAGTTTGGCCTGTCCATCCACTGGACTGATGAGTGTTTTCCTGGCTATATAAATAAAACAGAATCCCCTTTCAATGTTCTCAGGAATGCTCCAATCCCTGCTGCAATGCTGCGACCTGCAAACTCACACCTGGCTCACAGTGTGCTCAAGGATTGTGCTGCAAAAACTGCAAGGTAGGCAGTGCTTTATTAAACTAAATTGTTCCTGTTCACTGAGATATTTTAATGTTTGAAAAGAGCTATTCTAGTCCTCTTGACGTATTTTCAAATGACATTCACCAGTTAGAGAGCATGTAAGAAGAGAATTTGTCTTCCTTAAAAACACTGAATGTTCCTAGTTGTCTTTGTTTCACTCTAGAATTTCCTGTGTTGCAATATTAAAAGTGTTCTCCCTCTCTGGTCCTAGTTCAAAGTGGCAGGAGCAGAGTGCAGAGCAAAACAAGATGTCTGTGATCTCCCTGAGTACTGCAATGGAAGCACTGCCTACTGCCCAGATGATGTTTACATCATGAATGGTCACCCATGCAGCAACAGCAAGGCTTATTGCTACTATGGAGTGTGCCAGAGCTTTGATTCACAGTGTGAATCCATCTATGGCAAAGGTATGGTTAGCATTTAATTAATACAAACCCATTTGCAGGCTCCTGGTAGACATTTCCAATTTTTCTTTCTGGTATTTTTCAGACACCTTACTGAGATTCACTATTTTTTGTACAGGGGCACGAAAAGCACCTGATATATGCTTTGAAAAAGCAAATATTAAAGGAGATAGGTTTGGAAACTGTGGAATGAAAGGTGGAGTGTACAAGAAATGCCCTGTCCAGTAAGTCACCACCAAATAAAAGCCAACCTTAAAATCTTCAATGTAAAAAAAATATATTTGTTACAAAGTCTTAAAGTGAAAGATTTAAAAGAATATATTTTTTAAATGCAAACTAAAAGGTTGGAATGGAATGAAGTGATACTGATTTTTATCTGTTCACCTTGTCTCTGAGTGTCCTTTATTCCATACAGGCACAGTCTGTGTGGGAAGCTCCAGTGCACATCTGTCAGTCTTCAAAACCTTCCAGCCTGGAGCGTTGTCAATAACGCGTCCGGGGTTTTGTGCTGGTCCTCTGACTTTGACTTAGGGTCAGATATCCCTGATCCTGCTCAAGTTCATGATGGGACAGCCTGTGGAGAGAACAAGGTAAGTGGAATCACAGCAGCATGACAGAATATATTCCAGGTGGAAAGTTCTGAACTTCCAAAAACATTACTTGGCTCTCTTGTTCATATGCCATCACACAGTAAGAATCTTTTGAGCTCAGTACATACAAATAATAAATTAGCTCTTCAGAAACTGGGGTGCTACATTATCAGTCATTCAAATTACTCCATCAAAGTGCATCCACAGAGTCAAGCACACCTGAGGCAAATAAAGTTATAAAATTCTGAAATACTGAATATTTTATCCGTCCTTTTTCTTAACATATAAGTGAAAGCTGCACACTTATAAACACATACACTTATAGTATTTTTATTAAAGAATGGGATTTTTTAAAGTTTTGTGTTTGCAAGGCACTAATTACTTGTTCCAGGCCTGTTTAGGTTTTGAATGTCTTGATGCAAGTTATCTGGGCTACAGCTGTGATGTGAAGCAGAAGTGTAATAATAATGGGGTGAGTAGATGGTGTTTTGTGTCCTGCTTCTAGACTGTGCAAATTCCCTGCATTTAAGCAACAACCAAGCAGATGGCTTTGATTTTTCCTGATCTGTATTAGAAGTTAAATCCACTTATTTTACCTGTAATTCATGTTGCCAGAACACTGCAAACCCCTTAGCACTGAGAGGCATTTAGTCTGAATTTCCCAAGGGAATTTTTTTAATATTACTGAGCTGGTGAATTGTAAAAGGAAAATATTCCTTTGAGGATGAGAGTCTGGTAATTCCTGATTTATATATGTCTCTGTGAAAAATCAAAATGGAGTCCAAAGGCTGTAAAACTAAGGTTTCTGGACTGTGATTTATTGCAGGCAAATAACACGAATGTTAACTTAGAGAGAATTACCACGGGGTATCAGAATCCCTCAGTGCTTTGGGGTATTATAGAAGGGCAGAGCTGATTCCCAGTTAATATTTCATGTATTCCTATGCAATACTATGCAGTATTGCTTGTTTCCACATGCAATTCCACGTGTGGAACTCCAAATCCATACCAAAGGTTTGAGTGGCCACTCTCAGGGAGGTGTTGTTTGACTAATCGCTGTGTTTGGGCTGTAGGGGTGTGACAGCAATGGGAACTGTCCCTGCCTGACTCATGACTCCCTCTTGTTTGGGCTGTAGGTGTGTAACAACAATGGGAATTGCCACTGCAATCCAGGATGGGCCCCTCCGTTCTGTAACCAGTCTGGCTATGGTGGCAGTGTTGACAGTGGTCCAGCTCACACAGGTAGGACACTGAAACTGGCCCTCATTCTGCTCCAGGGACTGAGAAAATAATCTACTAATAACAGCTTCTTTTCAACTGTATGGCATGAGACACAAATCATGGACTGACATGAAGAACAAAAATTATTATTTGATATTGAAGTAGCTTTACTGCCTTTTACACATGAAATGTTTTCCCTCTCTTTGTCTAAAATCAAAGTTCACAATTCGTAGGTTTCTGAGGAAAATCTGTGATCCTTCTGAGGGCAGAAACAATTCATGTTTTATTTAAATGATTAAATGTTACTAAATTTGTATTTTGGGAAAGGGAAAAGTTGGTTTGTATTTAATAAAAGTTTAAGAAGGCAAAGCAAACATGTAGAGCAGATGTGATAAGCAAATACAAAATGAATTTGTCTGCTTCAGAATGACTGAAAAAAATTTATGGAAAAACGTTGCAAATACACAGGGTGGGTAAGGCAGAAAGAACTTCTAATACCATAAGGCCAAATCCTACTTTTCTGATTGTAACATGTTATAAATTTCAGTGAAGTTATTAATTTTATTCTACAACAATTTGAAGATTGTACTTTTTAAAACAACAAAAAAAATGCTTTATTATTTTAAATTCCAGAATTTCAATCCTTTTTCCCTAGATACATCACTTCGAGATGGGCTGCTGATTTTCTTCTTGCTTGTGCTGCCTGTAGCCATCCTGACTGCAGTAGCAGTACTGAAACGTGATGCAATAAAGAGAAAACTTTGCAGGAAAAGCAGAGGACAGTACAGGTATTTCCCTTCTTTTACAGGTGCTATTCCAACATGAGAGTGTGCTCCAGGTCAGTGCAGCAAGGCAGGTGGATGCCTTATCTACAGAAAAAATTCCACACCTCCTAAAATACCAGACTGCTAAAAGCAGTAGCAGGGAGTTTAACAGCCCATCCCCAGCTCCTTGGAAGTGCAATCCAGACACTCCAGTTGTCTGTTCTCAAGCATTTTTCCCAAATCCATTGCACTTTCCTAATTTTTGTTGATAATTTCTTGTCCAGTCCAGAACAGGATGGACTTAGAGCAGAATCCAGACCTGTGAGCTGTAGGTTTGTCCTTGGAAAATGCTGCATCCCTGAAGGATTTCCTGATGATGTGATTTCTGTTTCAGGGATAACAATGGGCAGGAACCAAAGCAAGGCAATAGAGCAAGTCATGAAACAGGAAATAATCAGGTAAAATAGATGCACACTTGGATTATTTAATGTTGGGTAACCCAAACTGCACAGTGCCTTTTCCCCAACACAATTAATCATGACTTTCTGACTTTTTGATACACTGAAACCATCTATATTATTTCTTAGGCCAAGCACTGGAGGTGCTGCTTAGCCAGGCTGTGGGTCTGATAAAACTGAATAAAAATTATCAAAACAAAATGTTGCAAGAGAATATGAAGAAAGCCACAGCAAATGAGAACTAGTTCTAAAAGGATGTTAGCTTAAGACTGAATAATTATCTACGCTTTGTGCTTTCTGCTAACCTGATTTTCTGCTATGTTTTTTCCAGCCTGCTGCATCAAGTCACAGTATTTTTACCATATTGCATTTTCCTGGTACAAGGTTTGTAATATTTAAAATCTTCTTCACTTCTCTTTCCTATGTGTATGTTGCTGTAAGTGAAGTTATTGATGTCCTGTGTCCTGCTTAGGGGGATTTTTCATGCAGCATCATGAGCTGTAATAGATTAAAGGCTTGAAAGAAAAATATTGTCATAAACACAGGTAAATGCTGCAAGGGAGGGGAAGGGGCAGAGACAGTTAGGTGTAAATGCTAGAAACTGTTTAAAAATGGTAAAGAACCAGTTTAGAAATGTCAGGTGTCTCAAGTCATGAAATACTGAAGACAATGTGTTTTCCACACTTCAGGCAGCCAGTCCAAACCCAGCATCCTGCATCTTCCTCAGGACCTCAGCGACCTCCAGTCCCACCTAGACCAGTTGTCTGAAATGTTTCTTGGGAGCCCTCAACCAATTCTGCAAAGTAACTGGCCTGAAAAACAAATTAAAGGATTTCAATGCTCCAGTGTTCTCCTTGTGCAGCCAAAATGCCTTTGGAAAGCACGTCCCTCCTGGAAGGACTGGTGCCAAGAGGCACTGAACACAGATTTGGTGAGACCCCAATGTTTTGCTCCTTGCTGCTGGCTGTGTTTGTGCCTCCTCTACCTCACCTCCTGGTTTTATAAATCAGAACCTGAAGTTCAACTTGCACAGGATTGAACCTGTGAGAGTGTCAGAGAACAGGACTGGTCCATGCTGCTGCCTCACTCCCAGGCCACAGAGAAGTGAATTCAGTTATTCACAGACATAATTCAAAGATGGGAGATCTGCACTTTACCTCCTGGGCTGTCCTCTCCTCACGATGAACTCTGGGGGCCTGAGGAACCAGGTTTTGTGCCCTGCTCTGACACCTGCCTGCCATCAGCCCTACCAGAGCCCACCTCTCACAACCCACCAGCCGTGTCAGCTTCCATTTCAGGTAGTTTATAAAGTGACCTCACTTGGGGACTCCAGAAACTCTGCAGGTCATGTCCCCAGGTCTGAAAGAACCCATCCACCTCTGTTGTTACAGAAAATATGGGATATTGGGAAATATCTCTACAGCTCCACAGTGGTTCAGTGTTTACTGGGTTTTGCAGCTTGGCATTTTCCCTAGAAATTGATTCCACTACAAAAGCAACAATTAACTTTTTTCATTGTAAATGGGACAATTAGAAACCAGCATTGATTTAAAAGAGGACGTATGGAGTGACATAGTTTGTCCAAATAGGCCTCCACCAAATGTCTCCGTGTAGGAGATGGATCCAGGAAATCCAGGGAAGTCTCCAGCAGAAGGGAGAAGCAGCTGCAGTGCAGAGCCCAACTCACTGCCAAGAACAAAGCTGTGGACATGGATCCACTGCCCTTGGGGACTAAAGCACACCCTGGCTGTGTTCATGCAAATTTGGGAATACAAACTGGGAAAAACAATGAATAAATTATAGGACTGCCGCACCGAGAAAGTATTTCCAACCCTTCAGATGGGCACATCACTGAGAGCTGGACAAAAGAACCCAAAAGAGATTGCTGGCAAAAAGTCTGTGTCTTCCAAAGAAGTGTCCTCTTCCTTGATCCCTCTGAATCTCAAACTGTTTTTATTAAATATCCCTATCATTTAAACCTCAGGTATAATATGACATTGATTTTATTTATTACATTACAATTTAAATAAATCCTCAGGGGCAGCACGCTTGGTTGTATCTTTGTTTTGTGATCACCACAAAAGGCGCCGCTGGGCACGCGGGGACAGCTCAGCCTTTGATGCACCGGGTGTCATTAAAGAGAATTCTCGAGCTCATTGTGATACCAGAATTGGGTGAAAAATCAGAATTGGGAAAAACCAGCACAGGCTAAAAGCGCCCGTTCCTGCCTCTGTCGTTTGCGCCAGGTCCGCCAGGGGGCGCGCCACGGCTCAAGCCTGACGCATGCGCACCAGCTCCGGCGGAAGCGGCGGCGGCGGCAGCGCTGGCGGAGCAGAGGCAGCAACAGCGGGGCAGCGGCGGCGGCGCCCGGGTGGGACTGTGCCTGCTGTGCGGGCTGCCCGCGGCCGGCAAGTCCACCCTGGCCCGCGCCCTGAGCCGCCGGTTACCGCAGCGCCGGGGCTGGGCCTGCGCGCTGCTCACCTACGACGAGCTGATCCCGCCGGAGGCCTTCCGCCCGCGCGTGCCGGGGGCGGGCCCGCACGAGCCGCCCCCATTGGTCAGTGCGGCTGCGCTCATTGGCCGCTTGGGCGCGCCTATGTGACGTCACTGCGTGCGCCCGCAGTTGCCAGGCAACGGGACGCGGTCGGGCCGGGGTCGGGGCCGGGCCGGGTCCCCTCACGGCGGGGCCTGGGAGGGCGGGAGCGCTCAGCAGCGGCCATGCGGGGCCGTGATCGCTCTCTTTCTCTCTCTTTCTCTGTCACAGCTGCCTGGCTGGAAGCAGAGCCGCCGCGAGCTGCTGCAGTGTCTGGAGGGATTCCTGCGAGCGCTGCTCACCGGGACGCCGCTGCCCGGTCCCGCGCAGCCGGGCTGGGAGCGCTTCCTGGGCTGCTGCCACCGGCAGGGGCTGCTGCCTGCCGCGGAGGGTGAGCCCGGAGCCGCCTCCCAGCCGCTCCTCCTCCTGCTGGATGACAACTTCTATTACCAGAGCATGCGCTACGAGCTGTACCAGCTGGCCCGCAAATGTAATTATTCCTTGATCTTCAGCACGAGGATGTTTGTAGGATATTCAGTCCTCTTCAGTTGCCTTCTTTCAAGTGCTCTCTTGGAGCGTTGGTTGTTCTGATTGCTGGATACCTGTAATAGAGTAGCAATCAATGTAATTTTGTTACTGTCGTATTATAAATTGGTAGACCATGTAAACGCCTTCCTAGAGCAGCCTTGAAACACCTTCCAGTACATAAGGAGGCTCCAAAAGAGCTGGAGAGAGACTTTGGGCAAGGGCTTGGAGAGATAGGACACAGGCAGTGGCTTCACACTGACAGAGGGCAGCGTTAGGTGGGATATTGGGAAGAAATTCCTCCGTGTGAGGTTGATGAGGCCCTGGCACAGGTTGCCCTGTGAGAGAGAAGCTGTGGCTGCACCGGGATCCCTAAAAGTGTTCCAGGCCAGGACAGGGTTTGGAACAGCCTGGGATAGTGGAAGGTGTCCCTGCCCCTGGCAGGGGTGGAATGAAATGGGCTTTAAGGTGCTTCCCAATCCAAACTATGCCATGGTTCTGTGTGTTGATCTCAGACATTACTTGTGTATCCCTGAAGGTAAAATTATGTTCCCTGTCTAGATTTGTTTTCAAACAAATGTCACGTCAGGCTCAGAACCATTGCAGAAGCTCCTCATTCATGTAGAGCCTCTCTCCTGCATGTTGCTCTCAGAAATTGTTACTTGAACTGTTTAAAGATAAAATTGTCTGGTTCTGTTCCTTTTAGATTCCTTGGGCTTCTGCCAGTTATTTTTAGAGTGTCCACTGGAACGCTGCCTGCAGAGGAATCGCCTCAGAAGTGATCCTGTGCCTGAGCAGACAATACAATTAATGGCAAGGAAAATAGAAATGCCAGATCTCAGGAAAAACGCTTGGGAGCAGCACAGCCTCATTCTGAATAGTTCTGATTGCATCTCAGAGGATGAGTATGTTACTGGATTGATCCTAGAGTTTTCCTTAAGTGCTGTTTCCGGTGGTAGAAGCTTCTTGTTGTAACTACACAACGTGTAAAAAGTATTTCTAGTGGTGATTTTTGGAAGCTGGGCAGCTACACAGAATCTAGGCTTGTTGGGAGCTCACAGCCACCATCCTCTGCAGAGTTAACCTCAAAACTCACAGCATTCCTACCCTGTCACTGAAAATCTGTGTAAATTGTGTGAAACACCAAGTCTGGAAATAATTTGAGTTGTAATTGTTTTAAATTTCAGATTATTTCACTGATTGCCTTAAAAAATTAACTGAAAACTTCCTTTTTTTTTTCTTTTTTTGTTTTTCTGTGGCATCATTAGAAAAGAAAAAAATGTATATCTGTTCGATTGCCATGGTTTACTCTGTTATTTGTTTTCTTAGTGAGCAGATCATGAACTTGCTGGCCACTGCTTTGGAAAATCCAGAGAGGCCAAACGAGGAGGACACAGAGCAAAAGGTAGCACTGCTGGTCTTCAGGGCACAGCTTTGGGTGCTGCCTGACTTGCTGCTAATGTGTTGTTTTCCAATAGCACTTCAAAAATCAAGTAAAGTCAAAATGTTTGCTTATTTTTCCTTCCTGGTGGCCCTGGCCAGGAGGCAGCTCGAGCCATCTGTGCAGCCAGTGCTGTCCATCAGGCTGACCAGGCGTGCAGGAGAGTCATCTCTCAGGCAATGCAGGATGCCAAAGGTACCTCTTCTACCTGCCCTACCTATCCTAGGTGCTAACTGGCAATGCAGAACAGTCCCTGAACTTCCCTTGGGGTAAGCTGTTCAGGAATCCTATCCCAGCAGGTGTGCCTGGGGCAACTCCTTCACACCTGTGGTCAGTGTTAGTTGTAAAGTTTGTAGATTTAAAAACCATAGTATTTATTACCTGTATCAAATACAGCTTTAATAAAAGAGCAGCATTTTAGAGGATGTTAATACTGTTTTGGGATGCATGTCAATAAGAACAGGGGCTTTGCTGTCTGCACTGCTTTACTCCTAGGATTTATATGAGAAGCAACTTAACTGAAAAGCTCAGCTCTGTGCCTGTGTTCAGGCTTCTCTCTGTGACCAGGGACAGGAGGGAATGGCTGGAGCTGTTGGCCAGGGGAGGTTTAGGCTGGATTTTAGGGAAAAGCTCTTCCCCAGAGGGTGCTGGGCACTGCCCAGGCTCCCCAGGGAATGGGCACAGCCCCAGAGCTCCAGGAGTTTGGACAGCACTGCCAGGGATACCCAGGTGGGGTTGTTGGGGTTCTGTGCAGGAACAGGAGCTGCACTGGATGATCCTGTGGGTCTCTTCCAACTCAGGATATTCTGTAGTTCTGTGATTTTTTTCTGTAAGCATGAAGTTAAAAGTTCAGTTTCAATTTTCTTTTAGGTAAAAACGTTCTCCCAAGTGACATGAGGAGCCTGGCAGAAGAACTCAACAAACTGAAAGCACAATTTTTGGAAGACTTAAGGCAAGGAAAGACTTTGAAAACCCAATATTCTGACCCTGCTACAAGTGTTATTTCTTCATTCCAACATGAGACAACCAATGTAGTAAATAAATACATTTTAAAATAATGACACAGAGAATATGTTGGGTATTTAGGAGTTTCAAATGCAGTCTCTGAGCACTCTGCTGAGAGATCTAAGGTGCAGCTCCCTTCCCTGGAGCCCCTGTGCCTCCTCTCCCCACGATATGGAAGAGTTTAATCAAGTCTAACCAAGCTGTTCTTGGCTGTGATCAAGCCAAGAGCAAACCATCCTGAGATTTAAATTTCATGGAATCAGAAAGAGTTAACCCAGGAGGAGCACTTGGGAAATCACCAGCTCCACCCATGGAAGGATCTGCAATTAAGAATTGACATGAGACCTAATTAGAAAGTGTTATTTTATTCATATCTTACAAAAGCAAAGCTTCACAACATGAACTACACGAGATAAGAGTTATTTCAGAATTAACCTTGTCATCTCAAAAACGTTCACTAACATTAAAATTTATTTTACAACTCTAACAGGTTTCGTTTTTGCATAAAATCTGCTCTTTACACTGAAATACATATTATTAACAAAGTAGGTACTTAGAAGCACATACACAGAGATTGCTCAATGAAAAATGCTTTAGCAGGAGAGAGATTTCCTGCAGCAGAACATCCATTTGCTGTAGCTTTAAGAAGCTTAAAATTAGTAGAAAACTTGCCAGTGAAGACTTCTAAATTACATTCCCTTCGTCAAAAAGAAACAAAAAGCAAACCCTCAAAACGTTCTGGAACAAAACAAACAGTAACAGATTATTTGGCTTGAAAACACTGCTTGAACGTGTCTCCCAGCACTGAGTTTTATATTAAAATGCCAATCAACATGTTATGTCTAAATCCTCTTCATCTAAATATGTGTCTGTGAAGAAACAATTTTTCCTATTGCCTTCTTCACAGATGAACTATTAACTGAGATAATGAATACGTTCAAATTTTCAAATGTTCATTGGAATATTCAGTCTCCAAACAGTGAATGTGTATTAAGAGTGCTATAAATAGTGCATGTTAGAAATGTCCACAAGGCTATAAAACAAGCTATGACAATAAAAACAAAACTCCCACAAAATTCATGTTTACAACTACAGAACTTAACAGAACCGAGCTATGGAAAAATTCCATCTCCTTCCCAAACTTCCATTGATAACAGTTAAAATGCTAATCATTCATTACCTTATAAGGATTTGGGTTTAAAAAAAAAAAAAAAAAGTAAATGCAGTGTAGCACATGGAGGACTCAATATGAAAAGTTCTTTTTACTAAGGATTCAATCCCAGAATCCTGGACAAGTCTCTCTCACTGACTCAGGGTAAGGCCTGCCTGTACAAGGGTTCATACTTGGAAAGAATTTGCCAGTACCAACTCTGTTTTTTAAATTATAGTCAATAGTATGTATAGATCAGGAAAAACAGGAAAATACACCTTCCAAAGCTCCTCAGTTGACAGAAGGGGACAATGATGTCAGAGCATTGTTTGGCACAACTGAACACACGGGGTGATCGTGGAACATGAACAATCCTAGTTCAGGGAAGGACACTGGATCCACCCCAGGGGTCTGGGATGAGCACCAAAGCTGCTGCTGCCCAAGAACCTCCCTGCAATGAGGAGTTTGCCCAAGGAAACAGGGAAGAGTTTTTTCATTCCTCCACCCTTCATGGATGTCCCAACTAATCTTTCCCTTAATTACTCAAGAGCAGAACCAATGGAATCCAGGCAGCAGCAGGAAAATCCAAACAACAATTTGCAAGGCTTGGGGATAGATTTTTTTCATACTGAGTTTTGTTTTTAAGAACATATATTCCCACAATAGGATCCCCTCCTAAACAAGGGCCCCTTTTCCATGAGATCCTGCAAGCTTCCTCTTGCTCCCAACTCCTCCATTAGTGACCTATCCTTAGTTTTGTTCAAGCATCGTGGTTCAGGAGTCATTTCTCTAAATCACCAAATCCCCAGACAAAGAAAAGCCTCTAACAATGTTAACACTGCCAACAGAAGCCCCAGTGAGTCAGAAACCACATCTCTGCACATGGAAATTACTCTCCCTATGAGACCAGGAAGGAAAAAACCACAAACCAAGAAGAACTTGGCTGCTGTGATCACTCAGTACTGTCAGGTGCTCCTGGAGCAGCACCATTCCACGAGTTTCCTTGGAAATGCCACAGCTTAGGAATAGGAGATTGCACCATCTGTCAAAAAGGCAAGGAAAACTACTTCCATAAATTACTAATTGTGAAGTTTTCATGAGGAACGTCTCTTATCCTAACACTGTATTCGAGCCACTGTAAATTGTAGGATTGTTCAATGTGTGATCCAATGACAGCCACCCTTTCTGCCCTCTTTGACTGAAAAAAAAAATTATTCCAAAACCTGTCCAGCAGTAACTTCTAACTGGATTCCAGTTCAATCAGCTTTTAAATAAAATAAAGGATGCAGCTCTTAAAATAAATGATGTTTACACACACAGACTTGCAGTTTTACTTCTAAAATAAATCTAAAAAGTATAAAGCAACAATGAAAGATTTTGGAATTACAGAGTGTCCTGATGAAAAATGGAAATTACATTCTGTCTTACAAATCCAGCAAAACAAATTTTGAACCAGGCCTGAAAACAAAACAATTTTTAGGAGTGACAGTGTTAATGTTCATCTTCACTACACTGGAACCACTTCAGTGGCAGATTTCTGACTTCATTACTACAAGACTGCACAACCAAGAACTCAAGCACAGAAATTCAACAGTAGGTCAGTCAGGCAGACAGAAACATGCCTGGTATCCAAATTTCTATTTAACTGAAGTCAAAATTACTTCTACAGCTCAGCTAAAATTCTTCCATAGGTGGTTTTCCTGCACTGATCTCATCCAGATCACTGTTTTTGCATTGGTTTCAGGAAGTTTTAGCTCCCATAACAATATAAATTTGAATAAACCAAACATTTGCTATTCAGATTCCAACTTCTGACTTGTGGAACATTAATAAAGTCTTCTTGCTTTTAACAAAACATAGTTTGCTGATAGGAAAAGGGGAATATATAAGGAAAGCTTTAATTTGTCTCAAGTAGGACAAACCAAGGTAAAAGTGCATGTCTAAATATGGGAAAAGTAATAGTTCTTCCTTTAATGTCTCAAATTCTTACCTAGCACATAAAGATACTATTAATTTTAATTAGATGTTTTATTTAGGTTTATGTTAAAGTGACTGTCCTTTAGCCTGAGGGCTTCTAAAGATGAGGGTACACTATTAAACAAAATAAACAACTTCAGTTACCATTTGCCATCTACAATTCCTAAAAACAACTTCAGTATAGTCAGCCAGTTTTCCTTTGCATCCTACATGGAGCCCAGAAAAAGCCAAAGGTTCTTCCCCTTATTCCCAGCACACCCAAAGGACATCAGACCTGGGAGAGGGGACAAACCAGGCCCCCAAGCCAGTTGAAATTTACAATAAACTGGATTATACAATTCTCAAAAATACAGGCAACCTCTCAGTTGAAGCCTGGCCCAACATAAAACTGAACAAAGGAGTTTTAATTTGTAAACTTCTTGTTTGTTTCTATCAGAACTTCTATCAGCAGGACAGAAGTCTAATTGTGCAAATCTTAAATTTCTGTACAACTCAGTTTAAGGCAGTTAGAAATCTCACAGAATATATACTAATTCTACAGGCTCTTCCTTGTCTCTAAAAATTGCCTCCTCTGAAAAACAATGAAATGTAAAATTTTGTAGACTGTAGGTAAAATAAGGTATCTTACTTTTTTGTTTCTATAACTCATGAATACCAGGCTTCATGCTCACTTTTTTTCCCCTACCATAGTTTTATTCACAATAAAACTGTTATCTTCTAGTTTTGTGCTAATAGTTAAATTAGTGTTTAAGTCCTAGGATGAAGAGTTTAGACTATACTAAACAAAAATTTACTAAACTTCATCAGATGAAAGCAACCTTTACATCAAATGGGATTTATATGTGAAAAATGCTTCTGTTTGAATAGATAGGTTTTTAAGGATTTCTCCAAAGTCATTGAGTATCTGGGGCTGGAAGGGACCAAAGAGGGACATCTCCCACTATCCCAGGTTGCTCCAAGCCGTGTCCAACCTGGCCTTGGACATTTCCAGGGATCCAGGGCAGCCACAGCTTCTCTGGGCACCCTGTGCCAGGGCCTCCCCACTCTCACAGGGAACAATTCCCTCCCAAAATCCATCTAACCCTGCCCTCTGCCACCATGAAGCCATTCCTCCTTGTCCTGTCTCTACACAATGTGTCATCACATTGACCTTTTGTGTTTTATGGATTATATATCTTGTCTTGCCTAGTAAACAATCTGGGAATTATATCCTATGGTTCAGGACACACGCTCTGCTCCTTGCAGAATGTTTATTGGGATTACGTGCAAGCAACTTAAATTTAGCAACCACAGCATGTAAATGCATTCCAACCCTTACAGCACTCTTGGCTTTTTTTGAAAGGCTACATATAAAACAGCAACTGAAACTGATACGAAATTTTCCTGGCAAGTTTTACAAGAACACGGAAATCAATTTGCCTCCTTTGTCGAATTGATTAATTAATGTGAAGATTCCCTAAGGGAATGTGCAAGCTTTCCATCAGCAAGTATGAAAAATAGACTGTAATATGTTAAAAAACTAAACGAAAGCATGTTCTCAGTCAATGTTGATTATGTTGGCCTCTTGCAAAGTGGCAAGCGAAGTCATACTTGTTTTTACACTTACACCCACAAATGTTACACTGGAAAGGATTTTCAAATCCGTGGCATCCCATGTGGATGGTGTAAAGGATATTGTCTGCAAAGTACATGTCACAGTGTGGGCAGTGGTGCAGGAGCTGTGGGTCCTGCACTGGCAGGGTCGGAGCTGGAGTGCTCGGCTGGCTGTTGCTGATACTGGGGGTACTGGTGTGGGCACTGCGGTCACTGCTGGGCCCTGCCACGGGACTGTAGTTCCTTTGATTGTGTGTGGGCCGGGAATCAGGGCTGGTTGGAGAGGAGCTCTGAGGAATATTTGCTGACACAGCTGAAACTACTGCAGGTGCAGCAGGCTGCTGTATCATGAAAGGCTTTTCGTCTTGACAAGAAACGACGTCAGGAGAGGCTGGATTTTGGTTTTCAGGTGGCAAGCTGGACAACTGCCCTGCTAACGTGGAGAGCTGGTTTAAAGGATTATCCACCATGAGGTCCTGTGGATCTC